ATATATATAAAAATCATTTATATGTATATATAACTCTTTGTGTGTATATGTATTGCATAGTTAAATAAATAAAGCAACGATTTTTTTAGCTCCATGCAAAGGATAATATAAATAATTGATAAACGATTGTAATGAAAATAAATCATACATATGCATATATTTCTTACACACTACATTTTATGAACAGTCGGAGTTGAAAGGGGTAAAAAAGCGAGTTGCGAAAATGCGTATAAAGCAGCATTTGAAACTGATCTACAAAGGAGGTTCAAAGTGGGTCACTTGCTTATTTGGTTGTAGAACTGTATGCATACATAAGGTTCTCTTCCTTCCTCTTTTGAAATTCACACGCGTATTTAAAGCTGCGTGCATTTTCGCTTCTCAGGTTTAAGTTCAAAGTGCAAATTTTTATGCGCACCGAGCAAAAAGCTTGGTCATCAGTCGGAAAAATCAGCTTAAACTAAATGGAAAATTTCACGAATGCAGCAATTAAGTTGGAGCAATTGAATAATGTTATAACGCTCAAATAGTCTCGTTAGGTGGTTTGTTAAATTTATATAAAAATCTGTTCATAGACGAAACTCGGATAAAATTAGAAACTCAAATAAAGAAGCTTTAAAGTATTTAAAAAATCGAGATTATATATACATATGTGTGTGAGTGTCAAATATTATATTTTTTATATATAGGTATATAAATATAATATTAAAAAAAAAAAAACATAATAGAAAGCTTATTGACACACAATTTTTATGTTTTCGAGAAATTGAAGAGTTGAAGACAATCTTTGGAAATAAGTTGATCAATTAGTCGTCGCATGCGAGAATTGGATAATTCCGTTAAGTGGCCTGGTCGATATCGTTTACAGAGTAGAACAGGCGTACTATTGCAGGCAATTGCAGTTGCATTACAGAGAGCAGAGAATCCGCTACAATTAACGTGATTATTTAACGGCGCTCTCGTTGTGTACCCGCAATGTTTATTCGCTATTCGCTCGTTACCGGTGTTGTGTGCATTTCTCTATACACATATCCACGTGTAATACTAGGGGTCGGATTTACCCCATGGTTATACACCGCGTCCAGCCTCTGTGTTGACCAGGCAAAACTGCGTCCAGGAAATGCAAAACCGTATTATCGTATTATTACAGTAATGACGACATTCGTACCACATTTATTCCCGTTTATCGCAACTACTATACGATATTAATTATAATTATACATTGATTATACAGAGATAATTTGTTTTATAATTATTATTCTTTTGTAAATCATTTTTTAAGAATATATAAATATATATATTTTTTGTAAGAAATATGTTATATATTTTTAATATGTTTGTTTTTAATAATAAAAAAATAGGAATTGTTATATTATATATTATTAGAATATACAAATACATATATAATTCCTGCACAATATTATTCTTGAGTGCATGAAGGTATATATTCTCTGCAAGACAATTAATATCTCTCAAGAATCCTTAGGCAAGTTTCTCTCAATATCAGAACAAAACAAGAACCTATACAAGACAATGAAACAAATTGTTGTTATGCATCGAAAGAAAGCTCAAATAAATCCCATTTCGATATCTTATTGCAGAATCCCAACAACTTGTCATCAAGAGCATCAATGTTCCCTCCGCTATAAAGGTCGGCGACGTCAATCACGTGATCCTCGACTGCGACTACGCTCTGGAGAACACCTCGAGCCAAGGGTTAGTGGTCAAGTGGTTCTTCAACGTCGACCAAGTGGTCTACCAATGGATTCACGGCAGGAATCCCTTAGCTGATGAGCCAGCCGCGAAATACATCGATCTGACATATAAGGCAAGCGATGATCCTTTCACCGAGTATCGAGCCATGAAGCTGGATAAGCCGGGAATCGATCTAACGGGCGATTACACGTGCGTGATATCGACATTTGAGGACGAGAAGGCGGCAAACGCTTCCATGGTAATTTACTGTAAGTATTTTTTTTTTTTTTTTTTTTTTTTTTTTTAGAGCAATGATTATATTATGTCGAGTATTAGTTATTATGTAACATGTATTTCGTGTGTATGTGCATGTATGTGGGTGTATCACCGTGTATGTATTTATTACGTTATTCTACATCTATCAATAAAATAATTTATTTATTTATAAAAGAAATACACATATCTAAATCATGTTTAGTAACAAATACATATATATATTTCTTGGAAATAATATCAATCGAATTTTACTTGTAAAAATTTTGATCACTATTAAAAATGAAAGATTAAATTAATTTGATGCTCGAAAACAATGTTCTTAATCCATATTGTTATTTAATATTATTTTTAATGCTATTTTTAATATACTATTTAATTGAATAATATTTTGCCCTTTCTCTCTCTCCTTTCCTCTTTCTCTCTATCTCTTTCTCTTTCTCAATTATATTTTAATGGTTTTGAAATTCCAACATTTAATGTACAAACGAAAATTATCAAATGTATAATTTATCAGAATTTTAATCATTTTAATATAATTATATTTTAACATTATTTTACACGGGATTATTGCTTTGGTAATCTTTTTATCTACCATGAACTTTGATCTCGCCGACGATACTTCTCCATTTATCTCTGTCTTAAGCAGAGGCATTCTCCACTTTCCTCTAGCCTACTCTTTACACATTCTCCTCAACTCCATCAATCCACTTTAACTCCCTTTTCACCCCCTTTATGCTCCTTCTACCTTTTCCGAATATGTTTTTGTATTTATTTTATTTTCGTTAAAGTTTTCGTTTTAATTTACAATTTAGTTAGTTAGTTTAGATAATTAGTTTAGCTTCAGATAATTATATTTTACGCGCGCGCGCACACACAATTTATTACTATTATATTCATTACATCATATTATTATGATAATATAATTATGCTTTTACTTTAAAATATACGCAAAATAACTGTTTCATACATTAGAAATATAACAAATGCGTAGGATGTCACTGATTTAAAAAAATCAGACTTTATTTCTCTCTAAATGCCCATTTTTCACTTCACGTTCTAGCGTAAATTTTCTTCGGTGTTGTTCCACTTTTATGCGTTCGCAAATCCTTCAATTTGCGCCGGGCGCTTTTTATTTACGTGGTTCCTGTTTTACGCTCAGGTTTCAATTTACGCGGTAAAGCGGAGTATGTACTTTCTTTTCCACACCCTTTTTAGAGCAAACGCTTTAACGCTGTGCTCGCTCATTATTTTTTTTATTTCTGTTTCATAGTTTATTAAGTACATTACCTCTGCGTCATTTATATTATTATTTATTTTTGTTTGAAACACATTTTATTTCTGCACTTTCTACAATTTATGTTACAATTAATATACATATAAATAAATATATATTATA